TATTTATTTTATTTTATTAGTATTTTCCTCAAATGTGTCAAATATATATTTTCTCATCTAAATGAGGGGGTGAGTGAGTCCTGAGTGATTCGTTTACGCTATGATTCAGCACAGGAGCGAGGGGGTGAGTAACTCAAATGTGCTGTTAGCATGTTAGCAGAGCGATGCTACTGTGAACTGGGAAGCTATTGTCCTGATGTGAGCTTTCTACTCAGAGTTTTTTCTTCCAGTTCAGAGCAGAAATGCTTTTGTTAAGAAACTGGCTGTTGTTTCCCCCCACAATTTTAATTATAAGCTAGATATATCTCTACTAATGAAATTAGTTTGCCAATAGCAACAGGGATGAGTCAGTGAGTCAGTATCATTATACACGAGTCAGTAAAGTGATTCTCGAGTACTGAGCGATTCGTTCATGATTCGCACATCACTATTCCTCTGCATGCCACAATATCAATAAAAATGTTTCAGTTTCATGCCCTGATTTCTGTTTTTTTTTCATTGTATGTGAGTTGAAAAAAAACATCACCAACTTCCTGTTTCATTTAAATGTGTAACCTATTTTGAAACCTTTCAAAAAAATCTGAACATGGCAGAATAGGTTTAATAAAGCAGAATATGATAGTTTTATAGCTTGACTTATTTCAAAACACACATTCATTCATGTGTGAAGGAAGACAATGTAGCATTTTTAAAAGGAGAAAAAAAGAGCCAGCTCAGTCTATTATTGTTACCAGACAAGAATATAACTATACCACATTTTGAAATTTTAAATACAAGAAATGTTATCATTTGACATGTGATCAAGTGAAACATTTTGGATTTACTCAGTTTTGAACAATGAAATTTTCTGAAATGTAGATCAATGCATTTTTAAAGTAGACATCAAAGAGAAGGATACACTTCCTTTTAAACATCACACCCACCTTCAGAAGGCATCTGACGCTCCTTATTGGCCCACAGTTTTCACTGATTGATGTCTCAGGTCACAGGGTTGAGCGATGAACCGTAACGGTTCATCCCAATGATCTTGTTTAATTAGTTGTTAAAAGCCAGAGTTGTGATTTAAATCATAATTCAATTCATCTCCCAGCTCTGTGATTAATTACTGCTGTAGGATTATTAAAAGTATACTCATCACTTCTAGTAGTAAAACAATAAACTGTGGGGGGAAAATCTGTGGTCTCAAAGAATCACCTGTTAGCACTTTAAAAATTGTTGAGCTGGATATGGCCATCTTGTTTGTGTTGAGCTTATTCCTTGGCCATTTGGTGAAGACAGGATACAGAGCCAGAGGGTTCTGTGTGAACCTGTGATGACACAAGTGCTGACATTAAGTTGTGCATTTTTATTTTACTATGAATGACAAACAGGAAGTTGGTACATGCAAGAATGAAATGTCCCCAGTAAATAGAACAGAATATTTACTGGGTGACATAGTATGGGCTCAAAATGTGGTCATAAATATTTTGTACTTGTATGACCACATTTTGAGCCCATAGGACATAGTGTTTGTGTTTTTGGTTTAATATTGTAAGGTAGTGACTTGAATACGTCACAGGGTGTCGCTGTTGAGCTGGAAATGCACTGTAGATTCGCCTAATTTTGACCATTTGTCTGCCCTCTTCTGTAGAGGGCGTCTGAATTATTGTTCAGATAAACACCAAGGTACCAGTAGCTGTCCACAGCCTCAATGGCCATACCTTGGATGCTTAGTGGTTGCAGTGGAGGATGTTTGTGCCTGCGGAAGTCTGACACCAGCTCCTTGGTTTTATTAGTGTTGATCTGGTGGCAGTTCTGCTGGCACCAGTCCACAAAGTCATTGGTCAGTTCTCTGTACTCTTTGTCATCCCTATCAGTGATGAGTCTGACTATTGCAGAGTCATCAGATAACTGCTGAAGGAGGCACTGGGTGGATTTTTGGGAGAAGTTTGCAGTGTACGGTAGATGGTGAAGAGGAACGGAGCCAGAACCATTCCCCATGGGGCCCCTGTACTGCAGACAACCCTGTCTGACACACAGCCCTGAGTTCTCACATACTGTGGTCAATCGGTGAAGTAGTCCAGTATCCATGTAGTGAGGTGATGGTCCACTCCTGTGTTCTCCAGCTTGTCCTTCAGAACTGTGGGAAGAATGGCGTTAAAGGCATTAAAGAAATCTAAGAACATGATTCTCACAGTGCTCCCAGCGCTCTCCAGGTGAGAGAGGAAACAATGTAGGAGGTGAATGACGGCATCATACACTCCAATGCCAGGCTGGTAGGCAAACTGAAGTGATGAGCTCACCAGGGGCCGAAGCTGATCCAGGACCAGCCGCTCCAGGGTCTTCATCAGGTCGGATGTCAGAGCCACCAGCCTGTAGCTGTTGAGGTCTTTTGGACGTGGAGTCTTTGGCACTGGTACAACACAGGAGGTTTTCCAGAGCTGTGGGACTCTCCCCAGTCTCAGGCTCAGGTTGAAGATGTGCTCCATCACCCCACACAGTTTGCCTCCGCAGGACCTGACGACCTGAGCTGATGCCATCTGGACCCGCTGCCTTCTTGGCTTTAATTCTCATTTCCCTCCTAACCTGGGTGTTTGAGAGAGACAGGCTGAAGCCTTGTGTTGAATGTGTATTGGAACTATTGTTGGGGGTGGGGAGTAGTGAGCAGGGTGAGTAGAGGAGGTGTGAAGTGTCTGAGGTGTCAGGGGTGGAACAGCAGCAGTGGGGGTGTGTGAGTCTGCAGCCGATGTTGAAGACTGCCTCATGGATGAATCAAACCTGTTATTAAAGAACTGATTCAGTTCATTTGCCCACCTCACATCCCCCACGGGCAGAGGGTTCTGATCTTTGTGGCCTGAGATGGTTCTAAGGCCTTTCTAGACTTTGTTGTTTTGCTGAAGCTGGTTCTCAGTCTTCTGCCTGTAGCTGTCCTACCCATTCCTTATCAGTCCTCTCAGCTCTCTCTGCACCCTTTTCAACTCCTTCTTGTCTCTAGATTTGAAGGATCTCCTCATCTGCTTGAGGAGGGCTTTAATTTCTGGGGTAATCCAAGGCTTGTTGTTGGAGAAACACGGCACAATCCACAATCCTGACATGCATTTGTCCGTAATGCATGTCACAAGGCTGTCAGTGTCCTCACTGTGGTCGTCACAGATCACCTCCCACATAGTAGACTCAAAACAGTCCTTAAGAGCCTGCTCGCTCTCCTCTGACCATCTCTGCAGCTCAGGGGAGGGAGAGATGAACTTTATGCCCTTCTGCATTGGCCTACAGTAAG